GAATAATTTTTTAATGTATTTCTGGATCCAGTTTGCTAGTATTTTGTTCAGAATTTTGGAACCTATGTTCATCAGGGATATATATATCTTGGTAGTGTCTTTATGTGGTTTTGGAATTAGAATTATGCTGGCCTTATAAAACGAGTTTGGAAGTCCTCCTTCTTCTTGAATTTTTTCAAATAGTTTGAGGATAATAAGTGTTAGGTTTTTTTTTGTTTTTTTTTTTTAATGTTCAATAAAAATCTTCTGTGAATCCATCTGGGCCTGGTCTTTTGTTTGCTGGGAGAGTCTTGATTACACCTTCAATTTCCTTAGTTGTTATTGGTCTGTTCTATCTCTTTCTGGTTCAGTTTTGGGAAACTGTGTTTCTAAAAATTTGTCCATTTCGCTTAGATTGTCCAATTTGGTGCAGTATAATTGTTCATAGTATTTGTTAATTATACTTTGTATTTCTGTGGTGTCAGTTGTTGCTTCTCCTCTTTCGTTACTGACTTTGTGTATATGGGTTCTCTGTTTCTTGGTGAGTCTAGGTAAGGGTCCATGAATCTCTTTTCTTTTTTAAAAAACCAGTTCTTTGTTTCATTGATCTTTTGAATTGGTCTGATGTTTACTATTTATTTCCTTCTACTTTCTCTGGAGGTTTTCTGTTTGTCTGCTTTCTGGTTCTTTAAGTTGTGAGGTAGACAGTCAATTAGAAATTTTTCTTGTTTCTTGAGGTAGGCCTGTACTGCTATGAAGTTCCTTCACAAAACTGTTTTTGCTGCATCCCATAGATTTTGTGTTGTGTGTTCATTTTCATTGGTTTCCAAGAAATTTTTAATTTCTTCCTTGATCTTCTTGGTAGCCCATTCATTGCTTAATAACATGCTATTTAGCCTCCATGTGTTCAAATGTCTTTTCATGTTCTTGTTGTAATTGATTTCTCATTTCATGCCATTGTGATCTGAGAAGATGCTTGATATGATTTCAATCCTCTTGAACTTGTAGAGACTTAGTTTGTGTCCTAACATGTGGCCTATCTTTGAGAATGTTCTATGTGCACTTGAGAAGAATGTGAACTCTGCATTTTTGTAGTGTAATTCTCTGTAGATACCTAGTAAATCCTTTTGATCTAGTACGTCATTAGAGTTCAGTATCCTTGTTAAGTTTTTGTTTAGAGGATTTATCCAGGGATTACAGTGAAGTGTTGAAGTCCCCTGCTATGATTGTATTGTTGTCGATTTCTCCTTCAAAGTCCTCCAGATTTTTAAATATATTTTGGTGCTCCTATATTGGGTGCATATATGTTTATCAAGGTTATATCTTCCTGTTGGATAGATTCTGTCAATATTATGTAGTGGCCTTCTTTGTCCCTAATTATGGCCTTCATCTTGAAATCTATTTTATCAGATTTAAGTATTGCTACCCCAGCTTTTTTTTCCTTTCCATTTTGTTGAATGATATTTTCCCATCTCTTCACTTTCAACCTATGTGACTGTTTTGTTGTGAGGTGGGTCTCTTGTAAATAACATATATATGAGTCATGCTTTTTTATTCAATCAGCTACTCTGTCTTTTGATCAGGGTGTTCAGTCCTTTTACATTAAAGGTTATTATTAATATGTACTTATTCATTGCCATTTTGGTTTTGGAACCTGCCAAATGTTCCATGGGTGTTGGTGTTCTGCTGTTTGTGGCTCCCTCTACTGGGTTTGGATGAGCCTGGGTGGGCCCATGCTAAACTCCACTGTTAAGTCTTACTTTCCGGGGTAGATTTGCAGGCCCTGGAAAGGTTCACTTATCCTCTCACCTGGAGGCTATTAGTCTCAATTACTTGAAGAGCCTTTTCGTTGAAGCCCTCAACTTAATAAAAACTTCCCCAGGTGTTCAGCATAAGGGGATTTCCAGAGGGTGGGGCAGATGCTGATTGTTAATTAACCTCAATTTGCATTTCTGTGGCCCAGAGCTCCAGGAAGGAGCTCCCTAAGCAAGATGGCCACTGTCCTGTGCAGCTGTGACTCAGTAAAAACTCTCAGTGCCCTCCAAATCCTGAGTGTCCCCACACAATTCCAATCCAGTCCGACCTTCCTCTCCCAGTGCCCAAGTTAAGTGGCTGTAGCTAATTTAGTGTTCTGTCCCAGCCCTTTACACTGTGGAGCCAGGTTGGTATTGTAACCCCAGGGGTGTTGCTCACAGCTAAAACTGCCACTGTCCATGGGCTCCCAGCTCGCCCTCTTGCATCTCTGTAGGCCTACTAGGCTCAATTCAGTGTCCTTTTTTCCTTTCCCAGGTTATATGGGTCCTCTCCAGGTGCTTTTCTGTTGCTTTTTCCCGACGATTTGTCTTTATTTTAGTTGTAATTCCAGTTTGGTCCTGGGAGATGGTCTGTGTAGCTTCCATTCACTCCACCTCCATCTTGGAATCAGCCTTAATTATGTTTTTAAAGTTACATCGTCAGCCCTGAAGAGCACAGTATTTATTCCTTATAGCACCTAGTTCCATGTAACAGTGTAGCAATTAATCCTGAATTAATGAATCAAATAAGACTAAGATGGTTTGTGATGTCCTAGCATTTATTCTGTAGGTCCTCATTCCAACTGGCACCATTCTCCATTTCAACAGGGTCCCTCCTATCTTGATAATTCTTCTGGTTACACAGTTCCAGATTATTGCCTTTCCTCTATATCAAAATGTTATCTTAGTACTTGCAAATGCCCAGGCCCCTACTGTTTTCACAATAACCTGTACTCTCATAGTTTAATCTGTGCTAGTGCTTCAATGGTGCTAAAAAACACAAAGTTCCTATTACAGTTAAGGCACTAGCCCCCTTTCTGTTTTTGGTCTGGGTCCTAAGTATCTTTTTTCTCACAGGCAGTCTCCAGGAATTTGGTATGTTTTCCTCTCTTCTTCCCAGCAATCACCCACCCACCTTAGTTCTAGGGAATGTTTCATCCATGCCTGGCTTTGGGAAACATGTTATCTTTTGGATTCTTAGTGAAAAGGCCAATGGTGATTTGAAAACTATGACTGTTATTTGCTTACTTCCTAAGTTACCTCTGATGTAATTAACTTTCAAGAAAAATGTAGTATGATATGGTTGACATACAATGACTAGATACACACAGCTAGAAAACTGTGTTATTCAAGTTCTAAATTGCTTCCCCATTTTGAAATTACTTGATGAGATAGACAAAAAACTATGTCAATTTCAGTTTAGAAGTAATGGATAATGAATATTAGAAAATTTAATATTTTTGATAAATGTACATTTTTCACAAAATGTGAAAAAATACAACAAAGGCAAATATACATTTTCAGGTTTGCCACCTCTTACCACTTGGTGACTATGACATATACCACTTGATCCTGAAAAATCCAACCAAATGATCATTTGTTTCTGAAACACCAAATTATTTTGAAAAATTCTGTTGTAAATGCACCAGCAAGATCCGTAAGAATACCCATACTAATATAATATTAGAAGGCTCTATTAATTTTTCTTGTCATTACATATATAATCTAGCACCAAGCCAGGTGACTACTTATATTTTAACACTAATACACTGAATTGGCTTTGGTAGAATATGTTAGTTTAAATCCTGTACCAACCTAATTTGAATAAGCTGAATTTACAGTAATAAGTAATATTTATAAATTCAAACAAATTTATACTAAGTGGGAATATAGGTTTTATAAAGAGGTTTTTTCTGTAAAATACTACTTAAAATACATCATGCACACTTCAGAGCATAAACAGAATCAACATCTGTAAAAAAAATCTACTTTGGAAACATTTATAGCACCAACATTTAGCTGTAATACAAGTGCTGACTCCAAGGTGGTACTTACAACAGCCTCTTAAAAGCACTGTTTCATTGGTATTTTTTTCTTTGCCAAAAAGATCGTATTTAGTCGAATAAAATGAAGTAATATGGTAAAAGAAGTGTTACTAAAACACAGTTTTGTGTTATCCTGAAGACAATGTTCTTTTTTCTTCTTCTTCTTTTGGGGGAGCTACAAGACTTGACTTAGAGTACTTAATGGAAAAAAAGGTCAATCTTAATTATTAAGGAATCTTAAGCTATTGAAAGTAAAGAAAAAATTTCAAGTTACTTCTCATATATTTGAGCAATCAATATTTATTGCATTTAGTTAACTGACTTTCTTACATTAATTACACTCTTATTACTTTCCTTAGTTTAGAATGTAACATTTAATGAGAAATATTGGGTATACACACTCAACCATTTATATCTTAAAAGACACATTTTGTAAATGAAGTTTGACATTCAAAAACACAAAAACATCAGTTTTACCAGAGTAAATAAGTGCAGTTTATGAAATTTAGGATCAACCATTGAAAGTACAAGTTTTCTTCATACACACACACACTAACCATGAAACCTGAAACTGATATTTCAGTACAAAAACCTCATTATGAGGTAATTTTAATATAAAACCAATTTTAAAAATCCACACAGTGGCACTCTTAAAAATGACAATTTCTGGCTAATAAGACAACACGGACTAAATATTCTTAGCTATTTAAACTAAATCTTGTGTTGTTTGAACATATATTTCTCCTTAATCATTTGCTTCTGATTCAGAAGCACAGAAAGACATTTATCAATGTGGAAAGGGAATATTTCCCCAGCCAACTAATGATGTATATTTTCAAATAAGTTTTTTAGTTAGGATTCAGATAGAAGTAAGAATACCGAAAGCTCAAAATCATTTTATGATACTAGAAGCAGAGGGATAATTTAAAATTTTTTCTATATAATTTCAGACTTGTAGTGCAGCATACCTCCTTAATTGAAAGGTGAGGACCGTTTATGAAAAGTTGGTCTAGATGAAATATAAGATCTCTTACAAGTACAAACCTTTTCACAAAGGTGTTTCAGGTCAATATTAAATATTATATTGTTCACTGCTTAAATTGAAAAATTTGTAAATGAATTCTAAATTTTAAAAAGCAAAAGTGAACTCTGACAGTAAAATATATTTAACATCAAGGCTCAAATCAACAAGAAAGTTATGAAAATTCTACTTTGGCAATGGTGGATTTTGTACTGTGCTAATCAAATTACAACACATACTTTGTGGGAAATCTCTCCCCCAATGTCTGATGATGTTAAATAAGCAAGAACAAGAAAAAAAAATTACCATCAATTCCAAAAAGTTTAGGAAATATTGGTTATCAGATGAAACTAAACAAAAAATGGCTTTCTATAATAACAATTTAGTTAGAAAAAAAGAATAAGTGTATCTCACAACAACTAAACCAATCTAGCTCTGTGATACATTTAACTGGTTAACCATCCAAGTACAATCTACAGATTTCTATATATCTTTAAGTTTCTCATTGCAATGGTTTAAAGTCAACATTGAAAAGATAAAAAAAAATACACAGCAAATTATACTTAATTTTTCACAGTAACACAAAATAGAAAAAAGGTACCTTTCTATATCTGAGTGCTAAATGCTGATGTAAGAGTGGTTTCCGCTATGACAGGAACCACTCTGCGTGAAACTTAAAGTTTTCTATATAAGAACAAATTTTAAAATCCAGAAGTAGAAAAAAAAATAGCAAACTCTGTCAACCTTTGCATTTCTTCTATGCAAACCAGGTTTTAATTATTAAGTTCATGTTAGTATTTCTGATTAGTGTAAGCAATTAATTTAGGAGTTTGGATTGAAAAGGTTTTTGCTTTTATACTAACTTAAAAGTAATATGGGATCTTCTAGCTCATAGAAAGGAATGGAGCTGGTTTGACTTTCTCCAGAATCTGAGTCGTATGGAGCATCAGGGAGCTCTGTAAAACCATATGCCAGTTGTTCATCTTCTATATCTGATCGAACACAGCAGGAAGGGTTTGAATATTCCTCATCTTCTATACTGTTGAAATCCTGAGGAATATATAACATTCCAGGGTAGTTTCTACTTACCAAGTCACTTGTAGTTGTTAGGGATATTTTTCTAAATGCCATCAGATGCATATGTGAAAATTTTGAATACTTGAAACGTTTAAAGCCCAGCGACTCTATAGCAATCTTCCAGCTTTTCATCATCATAGCATGACGATTCTGATGGGAGGAATCAGGTGTGATGATAAGCAATAAACCATTTAACATTAACAGTTCATGGGCTTTCTTACAGCAAATCCATCTCTGGTAAGGTGATGGAAAATAAGAAAGAAGGAGAGAGAAAACAACCACATGGAAAAGTTCTCCAGGAAGAGAATCAATAGGGTTTTTCAGCTGCTTCAAAAAGGCATCTATAGCATCCTGTGCCAGCTGGAGTGGTTGCTGAAGCTGCAAGTTCAGGAAGTCACATTTATATACAGTCTGCAGAAAGGGAAAACAAGGCATATTAGAATTCCAAGATTACTTCCAAACTATTTCACAGCATTTCTATCTAGGTCAAGTTTTAATTATGGGCCTTTCCCTTCTAACTTATTCCATTTGCAGTTATTCAACCAAAACTTTTAGTCACAAAAACCACAGAGTAATTCAGCCTAGAGAATTCTAGTTGTCATATAGAAAACTGTATTTCTAAGAGTTAATTTGACATATTTTAAGCATACATATATTTAAAAAATAAGGGCTTGTTTGAAATTTAATTTATGTAAGAGTTAACAGAAATGATTTCTTATTTTACTTTACGTATTTTTTTTTTCAGTTACAGTTGATATACATTACTATATTAGTTTGAGGTGTACAACCCAGTGATTCGACATCTTATAACTTACTAAATGATCACCCTGATAAATCTACACCATACTCATTAAAATATACTGATTATATTTCTTTTGCTGTACTTAACATCCCAGAGACTATTCTATAGTACCAATTTGTACTTAATCCCTTCATCTTTTTCACCTGTTTCCCAACCCCCGCTTCTTGTTTGCCAACCATCAAAATGTTTTCTGTATCTATGAGTCTATTTTGGTTATGCTTTTCCACTTATTTTTTAGATTCTACATATAAGGAAAATAACATGGCAATTGTCGTCCTTTGTCTTATTTCATTCAGCACAATACCCTCTAGGTCCATCCATGTTGTTGCAGATGGCAAGATTTTATCCTTTTTTATGACTGAGTCATATTCCATGGTACACAGGTTGGGGCAAAAGTAGGTTTACAGTTGTTCATATAAAATAATACAATAATAAATAAATAATAATATAAGAATGAACTCTTTCATGTACTCACAGCTATAAATCTACTTTTGCCTCAACCTCTATATATGCACTTCTTCATCCATTCATCTATGGATGGACACTTAGTTTGCTTCAATCTCAGTATTATAAATAATGCTGCACTAAACCCATGAATATATATGTCTTTTCAATTTAGTGTTTTGTGCTCCTTTGGATAAATACCTAGAAGTGAAATTGCTGAGTATGTCTTTGTTATACAGACTTTGTTTTAAGGTCTATTTTGTCTGGTGTAAGTATTGCTACCTGTGCTTTTCAATTATTTGTTTCAATTTTCATGAAATCTCTTTTCTATCCCTTTACTTTCAGTCTCTGTGTGTCTTCTGATCTGAAGGGAGTCACTTGTAGATACCATATGTAAGGATCTTGTTTTCTTATCCATTCAGCCTTCATATTTTGGTTGTTGTTGTTGTTAATCCTCACCTGAGGGTATTTTTCCATTATTTATTTATTTATTTTTTGATAGAGTAGAAGTATGAGAGAGGGAGGGGTGAAAGAGAGAGAGAGAGATTGCTGTGAGACACATCAAGTGGTTGCCTCGCCTACCCCAACTAGGGCCAGGATCGAACCTACAACCAAGGTATGTGCCCTTGACCAGGAATTGAATCTGAGACCCTCCAGTCTGTGGGCCAATACTGTAACCGCTGAGCCAAACCAGTCAGGGCTCCATATGCCTTTTGACTGGAGCATTTAAAGTAGTTGTTGATAGATGTGTATTTATTGTCATTTTATTTATGTTTGATCTTGCTGCTTTTAAGATTCTCTCGTCTTTAACCTTTGCTATTTTATTGATGATGTGTCTTGGTGTGGGTCTCTTTGGGTTCATCTTGTTTGGGACTATGTGTGCTTCTTGGACTTGTATGTCTATCTCCTTCACTAGGTTAGAAAAGTTTTCTGCTATTATTTTTTTCACATAGGTTTTCAATTCCTTGGTCTCTCTCTTTACCTTCTGGCACCACCATGATGCTAATGCCATGATGCTAAAGTTGGTATACTTGAAGTTGGCCTAGCATATTCTCATTTTTTTGGATTCTTTTTACTTTCTATTGTTCTGATTGGGTGTTTTCTGCTTCCTTATCTCCCAAAAATATGATTCAATTCTCTGCTTCATCTACTCCACTGTTGATTCCCGACAATATATTCTTCAATTAAGTATTCACTTCTGACTGGTTCTTTTATATGTTCTCTAACCCTATTTTATATTTCTTATTTCTTTATTAAAGTTCTCATTGAGATCATTGAGTATCCTTATAAAGAGTGTTTTGAACTCTGCATCTGGTAGATTGCTTGTCTCCATTTTGTTTCTTTTTTTGAAGTTTTGTCCTGTTCTTTCATTTGGAACATGTTTGTCTTATTTTGGCAGCCTCCCTATATTTGCTTCTATGTATTATGTATAGCTGCTATGTCTCCTGGGCTTGGTAGAGTGGCCTTATTTAGTAGGTGTCCTGAAGGGTTCAGTGACACAGCCTCCCTGACCATCTGACTTGGATACTCCTAGTACACTTTCCATATGGGTTGTGTATACCTTCCTAATGTGGTTGAATCTTGATTGCTGTTGGCACCTCAATAGAAGGGATTTATCCCCAGCCTAACTGGCTTTGAGGACTGGCTATGACCAAAGTGGAAGAGCAGCTGTACAGAGGCCCACATCACGGGGCAGGACTTATTTCAGTGGGGTTCTGGTACACTCTGAGTCTTCCCCTTGAGTGTTTCTTATGGAGGTGGTTGAGTGGTGCTTTGACATGATCTGCAGTTGTCCACTAGGTAACCTGGCTCTGGGAGTCTCCTAGGAGCTGCAGGCCAGTCAACCACCACTTGTGTTCTGCCCGGGGCCACCTGGCATGAGCTACAAAGCAATCTTTAGATGGCTGCTACTTGTGCTGGGCTTGGAAAGGCCAAGCTGGGAACCAAGAATGACTCCACTAATGCTGGGCCTGGAGCCACTTAGCAAGAGGTATAGGTCATACTGAGGTCAGATGCTGCTTATTTGAGAGATTTTAGGAAAGTCTAAAGCATGAGCCAAGACAGGCTATTTGTATGAAAAGGCCACTGAGAAGGGCTTGGGTAGGCCCACAAATGAGGTGGGGAGGAGACTCAGGAAATCACCAGGGTGAGGTAAACAGTGTTAGCCAGGTTGATGAAGAGTCAGATATGGCATCTGTCTGCCTACACTGTCAGTGAAGAGCTCAGAATTGGAACAATGGCCTCTGCCAGCATTCTGTCTGGGAGAAAGCTGTCCTCCAGGTCTTGCCCTGATGCCAGACAATCCAGTTCCTCCCTGTATGTTCTTGGTGCATTTCATGCTGCCTCAGTGCTGAGGCTCAGAGTGAGTCAGAGTAAGCCTGTGTGTTGGCCTTTTAAGAGGAATGCCTTGGACTCGAGCTTCTCTTCGTCTCTCTCAGCCACAATACCCACTGATTGTTACTTCCAGAAGTTGTGGGGACTTCTCTTCCTGGCTTAAGAACCCTGGGCTGGGGGACCTGATAACAGGCTGTGATCCCTTGCTCCTCAGGTGGGACTTCTGCAGCAGACATATCCCTGCTGCTTTTTATCTGCCCGTGTGGGTGTTGGAATAGCCTGTTATGAGTCTCTGCCCCTCCTACCAGTCTCAATGTGGTTGCTTTATATCATTAGTTGTAGAATTTCTGTTCAGCTAGATTTCAGGTAGTTCTGAATGATGGTTGTTCTGTAGTTTAGTTGTAATTTATATGTGCTTGTTGGAGGATTCAAGTACAACATTTACCTATGCTTCCATCTTGACTGAATTCCCGGTAATGATTTATTTCTAAACTCAGTCATCTTTAGATTCACTTCAACATTTACAGTTACCAAAATAGGCTAATATAACAACAACTTTAAATAAGAAATAAAGATGAATCAAAAAAGTTAAAGAGGATAATGAAAGAGGCATTTTATATTTGTAAAAGCAAAATACCAAAAGTTTTTAAGGTCATGAAAAACATCTTTTAAGCCATTAACTTTAACATGCCAAAAGTAATTTATTACATTTATTCTATTAAAAAGTTAAGCCCTGGTTTGAAACAAATTACATATTAAATTTAACATAGACAAATAACCACGGGAAACCATACAGGTAAAGGAATGAACAGCATGACATAATTTGCTGACTATTAAAACTATGGGAACAATAAAAAATAAGAAAGCAACTTTAAAATTTGATAAGATTAGTTACCTTTTTCATATAAAAATAGTTATTAATTAATAAGCAAATATAGAAATTAAGCCCTTAATCCCTCATTCTTATTTGTAGGTAGACAAGCTGATCACATAATCATCCAAACTACCTAGTAGGGACAGTGATACATGAAAAAGACACTTGTTTTTCTTCTTTCCTTTCCTTTTTATTTTTTAGCTTTATTAAAGCATAACTGACACATAAAATATTACTGACACACAAACATTTAAAGTGTATGCTTTTGATAAGTTTTGACATTTATACACTTGTGAAACCATTGCCACAATCCAGTTAAAGAACAGATGCAGCACCTCAAAAAGTTACCTTATGCACCTGATAATCCCTTCCTCGCACTCTCCTTGCTCTTCCCCTGCCACTATGCAATCACTGATGTAACTTCTATCACTATAGATTAGTTTGATTTCCTAAAATTTTATATGAGTGGAGTAATGCAGAATAATGTACTTATTTTGCTAGGTGTCTTTCACATAGCAATTATTTTGGGATTCATTTATTTTGCATGCATTTTATTCCTTTTTTATTGTTGAGGTATCCTGATGGTTCAAGAATATAGCACAATTTGGTTATCCACACACCTGTTTATGAATGTCTGGATCATTTCTAGTTTTTCACGATTACAACTGAAACTGCAATGAATATTCCTGTTTATGTTTGAATGGACATGTTTTCATTTGAATTAGCTAAATATCCAGAAAAGTCTAGATCACAGAGCAGGTATATATTTGTTAAAGAAACTCCAAAATTGTTTTCGAAAGCAATTATGCAGCTGAAAATTCCTACCAAAGTATATTAAAGTTCTAGTATATCCAAATCATCAACAACACTTGATATGGCCAGCCTTTTAAAATTTTAGTCACTGTAAATAGGTGTCTAGTGGTTTATTGTGGTTTTAATGTGCATTTTCCTAATTAG